AGAATGTGCCTATAAATGGTAGAAATCCGAGTAAAATTCATAAACAGACATTTATAGAAGCGAAAACAGCGAAACATAAAAAATGCAAAAACTCGCACGCCGAGGGGAGTCGAACCATCAACCCTACCCTCACCGTCCGATTGAGAATCCTCCACGCTATCCACTAGGCCATCCGATCGTTGTGGCTAAACACCACTACGATCGTTGAAGAAACCGCCCGACAAGCCGCTCAGAGCCGCTCATTCTCAATGACGTGCCTCAGGTAAGACCCCATTCGCGGCTATTTTCCTCTTCCACTCCAATAGTACCTTTATAAGGACCCTCCACTCAGCAACTGGTCGAAGTTTCAAGTCATTTTAAGCTCACAGAGGCTCAAAAACCACCGGTTTCCATAGATTTCTTTTTCACTCCTTTTTTGGTATTTCCAGAGGCGCGTAGGAAAAATGAACGTCAGTTTGGTACTCCATGCACGTGACCCTACATCATGCAAAAAACCGTTTTCAAAAAGCGCTCCACGTCCTGAACGACCTTCCTGGTAAGGCCTCCATCCGGTTGCAGCTGCCGACCTCGGCGGTACCTGCGCTTATTACCTTAGGACCTTTTTCGCACATCGTCAACTGATTACGAGCCGAATGTGCTTGAGATTTTACAACTTGCTTGGATGGAGTGGGTCCCAATGCGAGGCTCGAATAAACTATTCTACAAAATGTCCGCTATGATTCTATTCAAAGTTCAGGGTGACAGTTGAGGATTTTTGAGCTCTTCGAGGCAGAGCCTTATAACGGAATCAATTGCTTAAAGCAGTGGAGCCTAGAAAAATCTGCCGTATCGTTAGTTCTGTTCCTCAAGGTTTTTCAAGAAAACGAAAATTGATTAATGATGGAGGAGTTTGTAATTCGAAGTACGAAATTTTTGAAATTTCGATGAAAAATTCAAATTTGAAATAAGAGAAAAATTTTCTAGAACGGCAGTCCTCATGAACCACTGCGAAATAGAACAGAAGAGACCACGTTGTTAGAAGAAATTACTGAGACTGATCAATACAGAGACTGATCAATGCCCTGACACTTCGGTGGGATAACTACTTAGGAGGTCGATTGACAAGGCAGATAGCCGGGGAAAACTGCGAAAGGTTGTAGGAAATTGCACGAGGTGATTTTTACATGAATAGATAGAATTTTTCATGGGGATTCGAATGGTGTGACTTTGACTGGGATTTTCTTCCTTTGGAAAAAGCGTAAATTTTGCTTTGAAATGAAGTCGCGAAGTTGGCACCCGATAACAACAACCAGTCTAAAATACGCCACTGTTTTCCACCAAGTTGTTGAAAAGCACAGAACGTTCTGTAGGCGGCTTTTTTATGGAACATCTGGGGCCACTCAAAGTGCCTGAAATCCTGTTTGAAAACGCTGAAAATCGAGCATTGTTCTAGTATCGCACGAAGTGCCCATTTCAAGTAGTTGAAAAAACCTTCTTTTTGACTTCATTCTTGGAATTCGCGAACATTAGGGAAAACAGGGCTCCATACATTAGGCACGTTGTGCTAGTGTGGTCCGAACTGAACCACAGCTCGAGATTTTCCGGACTGAAAAGGCTATATCGTCCAGAAGTGCATCGAGCGGAACCCCTCAATTTTCAGGGAAATTGATCAGCAGCATTTGGGAAACACAACTATCTAGTTTTTAATCACTTCTCACGCGATACAGTACGTTATTTGATCCACAATGATTTAATTCCCAACGTTTACCCTCTGGTTACAATTATAGCGAGACTCGCTCGCTAACGAGTGTCCTCAGGTACTTCGATAGGAAGCACAGTTCAATTTTTGACTTTTTTAGTTTTTTAGGATGCCAGCTTATAGAAGAGCTGAGTCTAACAGTATAGGATTCTATATGAGAAGAGTTATAGCAAAAAAAACGAAAAAAAACGCGGATCTGCGTTCTTTCGTTTTTTTTCGAACAATTCCAGCGGGTATTGTACTTCCAAGCTATTCGTCATATTTTAAGGAGCCAATGTGAGCTTTCCAAGATCGTTGGCTATGAATCAGATACTGTTCCTCAAGTCATGATATAGCCGATTCAAACCGGAAATCAAGGAAAGAGTGGTCAGTGACCATGATTTTCAGCTGAACCTTGCTGAAACCCTGTCATGAAAAGTATCAAAATGATCACGGAATCATGCCCTCTCTGAATATGCTGGTATTTATGGCTTTGTGGCACTTGGTTTGAAGTTCATAATTGGACTGGAGGGTTTACGACGCAGCCGTGTCTGCAGGTAACACCTTGGGTCACTGGAGACTCAAACGTCAATTTCCTTGGGAAAAACGTCAAAAAATTGAAGGAAAGTGGAAGCTCCATACATTGTTGGATTCGTCTTGTACAGAGCTATCGGATGGTCTAAACTTCAGATCATTTGGACCTCTTCTACAGAAGTTATGGCAAAACGACGGTTTGCGACGGAAAAATCTGTCGCAAACCGTCGATTGACCAGAAATTAGGAGCGGTATTGTAGGCTGCAAGGCTAGGGGATAGCGGGTCATGCCAAGCAGACACTGAAATCAGTCGCTGCAAGTGAAATTACGTACCGCGCATCTCTTCGCATACCGTCATCGAAGATAAAGTTGGTTGTCCATTGCAACATTCATAGATTGACATATAGAAATTGTGAAACGAATTGATTCGGTGAAAGGAAGGCTATGCACGAAAAACCGCTTTGGCAAACATTTTTGCCCCCACTGTATATGAGGAACTAAGCTACCTAACAGGTTTCGTGATTTTTCATTCTTTGGCAAAAGATTCAGCCTCATACCTACTCCCTTTACTAACTAGTTATCGACAAAACACGAATACCGCTCATGGAGAGACTACAAGTGCTAAAAAATTGGATAGACAGTATGTTTTTTTTTTCGATTGATGTTCCGGTTATTGAAGACAAGACCAGAACAGAACAATTGGTTCGGGAGAATGTTTTTTTGTTTCTTTTTTATTTTTGTTCCGGTCATTGAAGATAAGACCTCACACGATGCCAAGTTATGCACAATCGAACATGGGGCATGTCTCGATCAAGTTGACCTGGTTTGACTCAATACTCTTCAGTTTCTTGCTTCTCATGTTTGACGCACCCAAAAAGCAGCGAATAAATGAATATTTCGAATATTTTCTGTACACCGGTTTTTCTTATGATCACCTGGATGCACCGCACTCTCTCTTGACTTATCATCTCATGCGTCAGTGGTCGGTATCTTGCATATGAAAATCACGTTGATCCACTAATCATATGACTCCTCATTTTTTATTGAGTGATACCGTGGAACGCTTGACTGCAATTAGGACATTTTCTGTTAAGATTTAGCTTTCAATTCTAGGAAAATCAGGTATGGCTGAGCCAGTGGAGGTGGAATTGCCTAGGCCTGAAGTCAAGTTACACCAAGGTGGGTGGGTGGACTGGGTATTTCATGGGAAAAGGTTTCGAGAAGGTTTTCTCATTTAATGAGGAGTAGTTCATTGGAAAGTTCCTCTTTCGCAGAGTTCCATACCTTCACGAGGTGACTTTCTTTTTTGCAGGCACTATGGCCTCGTAGAGGCCTTTTTTTTGTCGCCTTCTCTATGTCCAACGATGGAATGGGATTGTATCTACGCCCGATGAAATTTGATTAGCTTTGAATCAATCGTGGATCACTTTTTGTTATACCAACAAGAAAAGTCTTGATTTCAGTCGTTCCTTGTACCGCTGGCGTAGAAAATGCATGTGGTATTAGTTTACTAATGTGGCGTATCATATCGTTCGTATGACTGCCATGAAAGGGTGTGCACAGATGCCCCCCTCCTCTGAGCTGAATAGCGCCAATAATTGTTTCCACTCAGTACACGGCAGGGCGCGAAGTAGGAACTGCGTCGGTAACACGTGCCTGCTAACGAAAAGACGTCCCGGTACGCAATGAATTAGGCAGTGCTCTGACTTTGCGACGATGCGCGTCGACGCCCACCAGCGCAATCGATCGGCGTCGATCTCTGGTCCTTTGAGAGAGTACAGGAGAATAGGAAGGCACGCGTTACTTGATCACACACCTCTAACCAGGGCCCTCCTCTTCGCTCAAAGTTCCCCTAAACACTAGTAGCTGGTGCCGATGGATACCCCTAGATAAATATGTAGCTGCGTTCCCGTCCACAGCTTCAGAGCGCCATTGCAATGGTGACAAGTCGACGCGCGTTATCGCGAAGTCTAGACACTGCCCCATGATTGTTTCTCAAAATTTTTGCATCAATCTAAATTTTTTGCTCGAGGTCTACAGAAAACGGGACAAAATAGGTGACAGCTGCTCACCAAGGAAGTCCGCCAATTTACCATGGGACTTTGAATGGATCGATAGAGTCTATAAGGTTATTTACAAATATAGATAGCAAAACTGCAACCTGCATTTCACAAGCAACTTATGAGCAGGTAAAGTTTGTAATGGTGCAGTAGGGTGGAGGCTTGGTGGTGAGCTGTGAAGCATAAGCGAGGAATCGCATACGTCGAATCGAGTCGTGGTGGTTCAGTGGTAAAGTTCGACGTTCGACGACTCGATTCGACGTATGCGATTCCTCGCTTATGCTTCACAGCTCACCACCACCAAGCCTCCACCCTACTGCACCAACTTTACCTGCTCATAAGTTGCTTGTGAAATGCAGGTTGCAGTTTTGCTATCTATATTTGTAAATAACCTTATAGACTCTATCGATCTACCCAGGTCTCCATTCAAAGTTCCATGGTAAGCTGGCGGACTTCCTTCATCAGTTCCCCCGTGAGAGACGAAAATACGATCCTCAAAGGAATCCTGGGCCCAGAATGTGACGCTACAATATTTGAGAATTTTCAGTGTGTTAGTGTAAGTGTCAACTCACATTTCCGTCGGAACAGTTTTAGAAAGCGAAAAAATAACAGACGAACTGAAAAAGGAAATAAGGCTGCATGAGACTATGTCATAAATGCTGTACGTGTTTTTCTGTATAACACAGCCATCAGCCACTGGCCAACATCCTCGCCAGCATCTTGTGGACTTTCTTGCCTGTAAGCAAATGTTCAACCAATCGTCCCAATTGATCAAATCTTATACTCACTTGTAAATGCGCGAACCGTAGCAGGGAACGTCCTCTTGAGTTCTTGTTGTACAGGTTTCGGCAATTGGTTGAACTGCGCAATAGCCTTCTGAGCCGTAGAAGTTATTGCAGCGATATCCGGTTTCTTGCCGATGACTGCTTCTGTGTGGATTCTACGGGTGATACGGTACATCTACAAGTGTGAGCTAACTGAGAAGCTTTTTCATCCGTAATGCAAATCAGGCTTTGCCTAACCTCCCTAGCGAAGGCCTTCGCTGGTGGGCTAAGAGAGTTCATTTTGTCTTCAATCATTTTGTGAATACGTGCAACCTGGTCACCAAGTTGGGGCGACCTTGCCCTTATCGCAGCTATGGCCTGAATAACACCAATCACAAGACGTCGGTTCAGTAAATCTTCCCTCGTACCGCGTCCTCAGTCTTGTACCGCGAGTAGTTCTCCGCAACGTCCCTGAGTATGGCTATATCGTTTGGAGTGAGGCCTTGAACGAAATCCCTAACTTCTTTGGGCATAGCCGCTGAAGGATTGACTTTTTAGATCTCGAATAACGTCTTGAGTTTTCATTCAATAAACCTGCGAGTTCGGGCGGAACATCCTTGAACGTTATCGATGCTACGTAGGCGATGCCCAAGCAAGCGACGACGATGAGTGGGCGGATCATTACTGAAAATTACGGCAATCATATTCTCAGAAATACATGCTTCAAGAAGAAGAGGACCAGAAATCCAACGTCAACGAACTAGGAGAACACCGATGTCAGTTGTCCAAGTGATGCTGAACTGAAGGCGAAGGGAACGATCTCGAAAGGCCTTATATCATTACCACCTCCAGGGCGAGTATTCAAAAAATAATGATAACGAGAATTTTCAAGGTCGACGGAAGACCATCACGGGACGTCTTCCACGACACTGTTCTCGGTGTGACAACACAACTAGAAAAAGTGAATTATGTACATCATATGCAGAATTGTGGATGCACTTCTTAGGCAACAGTCTCTTCTAGACAGGCACGTTATTCGCAGTGACACCATAGCTCCGATAAGCGTTTCAAGACAATTCAGAAAATAGACTACTTCGGCTCTATAGCGACTAAGACAGGGAGCAGTGCATTCCATTTCGAAGAAGATCGCAACAAAAGCGCGGACTTAAAATGAACATTGTGCGTGAAACCGAACAATCAGCAGTGAGAGAAAAAGCGTTCTTCGGTGTTGAATGACCCTGCGCATACGACTCTTACCAGAGGTCAAAAACGACCTCCCCCGCCTCGTTGAGAGGATGGGGAAGGTTGGCCGCTGGAAGTCCTTTACCATTCGAATATGAGATGTATCTGAGTTATCAAAACCATTGAGATTTCATCTCTGTTCGAAAATGAGTGTTGACAGTCTTTCTAATTGTGCGGGAATGTTAGATGGAAGTCTTTCATTACAGGCCTCAATGAAACACTCAATGAAAGATGGCCTCATTGCGTTCAGACTTCCCCATGACGCGTGTCGACGCGCTACCATTACAACAGCCTCCTATTGCTATAGACGAGAACGCATCCACAAACGGATATCGGACTGCGCCGGCCGCTAGTACATAGAATGTGCGGGAATGGAGCGTATGCACAGCCTGATCGCGCTGGGTAAGAACGGCGGTTGTGTTACAGGGACAATCGTAATTCGCCACGCTGACGAGCGTCGCGTGAGACATCGCGCCCGGCAAATGACGTTGTTTCTAGGTCGCGGTTGGGGGCAATAGGCAGTAGAGAATGACCAAAAAGTTGTGGCGATTTCGTGTTCGTGCGTTTTTGAGTGGTCATCATAGTCGTTTTTCTCTCCGATAGGTTATTTTTATTCCGCAAGCAGTTATCGATCAGCTGTATGAGTCATCTAACTAATTACTTTTGCTTCCCTCACAATGTCTCGAGAAAATCAGAAGGTTTCAGTGCTCTTTGCGTTGAAGAATGTTTCTTCTCCAAAGAAAATTTTTTTTTTTTCAATGACAACCACCGGAATTGTCGTCAGCCACTCAGAAAAGGTCAGCATAAGACAATGGCAGCGAAATCCGTTCGTCTTCATTCATTCGAGCGGCATGGTTAAGATCAAACGCTGCCAACTTCAATCAACACATCTGCGACGATGTAACTAAAGGCCATGGGTGTTTGAAGCACCTTCGGTCCGAATGATGTTGTGCTTCACAGACTGAGACTTCAGCACATTCTTGGCTCCGCGATTGCCAGGGCACATCGTTGTTGGGGAATCCCCAATAGGGGGGGTCGTATTTGGTCGCCAGGAGGGGGGTCGTATTTGGGCTGAGAAAAATTTATTTTGATATTTTGATTCTTCTAGCTTCATGGACGTTGTAAAAGGGAGGGGGGTCGTATTTGATCATTTTTGGGAGGGGGGTCGTATTTATATTTCGGCGTTGTGGGAGTAGCGGCTGACTTTTGATGATTTCCTGTTTCACGTATTATATGCCCCCCCCTCGCTCGACGGCTCGATTCGATGAGAAAGGACAGAGGGCTGGGGGGAGGGTATATCAACTCCCAAAAAAAGGGGGGGTCGTAAGAGTCGACTAAAAATCCCAACAATGATGTTGCCGCTGACCGATGCCGTTTGTAAAGAACTTTTCCCGGGGTTTTGGGAGTCCAGGACATTTGGCTCCCGAACCGCGTGTCCTAACGAATGGATTACTGCCATTTGAAGGCAAAAAAAGTCTTAGGATCGCATCTGCGAAGGCTGGCCACGCGAAAAGTGGGGGCTGCGTGCTTGGGACGAAAGCTTCACAGGTAAAGAGAATGTGCGACTGATTGTCGGACACTTCGAAAAGAGAGACTGAGCAAAGGTACTGAGCCCGAAGGAGGCAAATATGAACACACGTTGTGCCTTTGTTGTGTACTGTCATTGTTACTGATTTGGTGAAGACTCCCAGTTGTTCAGGTCTGATGACTTACTTATTCAAATGGTTTTTATACCATCAAAGTATTTCGAAAAATTGCCAGATTGGCTCAGCCCTGTATAGGTGCCAAAAGCAGTATAAATACATACTAGGCCATAGCCTCGCTTGACACCACTGGTGCTCCAATCCAAGCTAGCGCAAATTACGTAGAGGGCGTCCGCGCCCACCGCCGCGCGCGACGTTTTACAGTTGTCTTGGCTGTCGTTCGAGAAGGGCGTATGCCAACAAAAATGGTTGGGCACGAATGGGTGGGCAAATGTTGACGAAGGACCTGGTCGGAAAAGTGGACCAGGTGTAGAAATTTTCATTCAACGACCCTGTCATCTCAAGAGGAGATTATCAAATTGAACAACAATGCCAAGGTTAGAGATTGGTGGAGATTTTTTCAATAGCTACCAAGGTCTGCTTTATTTCAATAATAAGCTTACTTTTTCATGGGTATGCTGTGCTCTGCGTGAACATATGGTTTAATGACTGAATGTAGTGTGGGCAGGTCATGCCTTGATTTTGCCACAATTTATTGCTTTAGTTATGCAACTTTGACTTTTCAAGTGTCTATAATGATTGATGTTTGTGGAAAAAATAGCTGGAATCGTTTTTCGTTCACATTCCTGACAGATTGTTTTTAATCAGAATGAAGAGTGGGCTGTGTTAGGACATGCCACATTTCATGCGTCACGTCAGTGGGAAAGAGAACTAACGGCCGTTCTCTCCATCACCTGCCGTTTATCAGAGCACGTCGTACGTTAGAAAATCCCCAGCAGGGTAGGGACGTATGAGTCGCTGGGGGCGAGGTGGATCGTATTCCGGTCTTTTATTGATAGTTTACTTTCGTTGTTCCACGGCGCTATTCACATCGTTGGAAGAATTTCAAGGCGGATGTGGGGGGAGATGGGGAGGGGTCGTATCTGCTTGTGGTCGGAAGAGGGGGCACAATTCAACTGATGTCATCCCTAATTGGTGACGTTTTGAAAATAGTACAACATTTCAATAGTAGTTGGTTGGTGACCACCTCCTGTCCCTCCTCGACGGCAGAATTTTGGGGAGAAACTGGAAAGTTTTCGAGCAATTTCGGGAATTGTTGTAGGACGTTGGGGAAATTCAAGGAGCTATGAAAACTAAAAAAGTGCTGGGTAGCTTCGGTGGGGGCGGGGGGTGGTCGTAGGTTGCACCAGATGAGGAGGCAGTGGATCGGGGAGGAGAGGAGTAGTATTTCCCAATTTTTCCCAACGGCAGGACCTGTACTGCCGTTTATTATAGAAGTGAGGAAATGGCGTCGGAGGAATGTGCACCATATGGCGTTATGTCCTCGTCACTGAAATGTCACGAGACGTTCTTGTGACGTAATGATCTGACCGCTAACTTTACCGCAATGAAGTGCGGACCCAAGCTGTTGCGTCAAAGACTGATCCTCAAATATAAATCACAGAAGTGAAGAAACATATTAATCTCAATTAGATACAGGTTAGGTAATAATGACGTAGACGATATTTCAAAAACGATCCGAAAGATTTCGGTTACTTCCTTATCAATAGTTAATGCGAAAGTCATCAGGAGTGGCGTCATAATCTGGTTTCGTTCTTAGACTTCTTATCCTCAAGAGCTTATCAAGGTCAGAATTCATTTTTGCTTAAGGGGTTACTGTTACAGGTTTGCATTGACTAGAGACAAATCCATCATTGTCACATCGGCCGCTCAATTCAGCGAAAGCAGTGTACCGTCAGATTTTATTGATAGCGAAACCAGGGCACGTCGCAAGTTGGGGATCACCGCGAGGGAGGGTTTCGTAGAAAAATGTTATCGGTTGCTGACTTTCGCCGGTTTTTCCTTTTCCTGTATCATAGAAGCTATGGCACCCCATCCCCATGTTGGAAGGACGGGAGATAGGGAAGGGGATTGCACCAGAAGAGGAACTTGCGTAAGCGGTCGTATTTTGCAAAGTTTTCCACAGCAGCAGGACGTGGCTCACGTATGATCCGAACAGAGAAAAACAGCAACGGAAAGAAATAGTGCACAACCTGTTCCAACTCAGATCCCCTCCTAAAAATCTACGTCATCGCAAAGCGAACCACTTACCGTAACCTTTTCAGTCTGCGACCATATGAGAATCAGCTGTGTGGGACCAGCAGCATCGCGGACGGCTCTTGATCCACTGCCATTGTATTGTAGAGGCCAGCGACGTATGTCGTTTCAGCTGCAAGTTGCTAGAATCATCAACACTGAATTGTGATGCTATTGAAAAAGGTTAGAAGTACACTCGGAACTCCTGAGATGGGGTAGGCGTGGCTGCATACTTCAACGTCACGACTGTTCTGCTTTTGATGAGATATTTTTATTTCGAGACAATATGGTCATGTCTCTGTTCAACGTAGAACAGGATGACAGTTATCTCAGATTGAGATACTCCACGATTAAGCGGTCCTACGCCATGTTGCACAAGCCCACTCCTTCTCAGGAATAATGAGTGTTCAGACCCTTACCATAGTCTCGAAGCCACCATCTCCACGTCGAAGCGCTGAATTACTGTGTTTCCACGACACTGCCAGTTGTTATTGAGAGGTGCACTAGCACCAATGAAGTTGTTCACTGTCGTTCGTTAAGTACAAAGCTTGTATTCCTTAGTGCTCCACGGATGAATGAAACCCTAAAAAAGCATGACCATGAGGTGGAGAACGCTCCTTCGTGTAGTATTGTTCGCTGCGGATGCTGGGGCATTTGAGGG